ATTAAAAGCACATGTTACACCGTATATAAGCGGATTCATTAAATAAATGTCCATAAGAAACTACGGACATTGGAAGATTAAAGCTCACAAAGAAGCATTAGTATTTTTTTGCATGTCTAATCTATTCTCTTTAAGGAGTTTAATTTTATGTTTATAATTAAAGAACTTGCAATCCTTTTCTCAGCTGCAGCACTGTAGCTCTCCGAAAAAATATATTGACAGACCGGAGAGCTACAGTGCCACCCATTGAAAAAACTGTATATTTATTGCGCACAAAAATTTGCGCTTGGTTCTGGATAAATTCGTTCAAATTCTTGCCTCAATTGCAAAAAAGCCAGATTTATATAAATTCCTAGCTTTTCCATCAATTACTTTCTTAGTTTATATCTGCAAAAGCGGTGAACTTAAAGAAATTTCTTACCTTTCTATCAACGCTCTCGTAGTTGACATCTGCACGAAGCGCGTTAGACCGAATTATCTTGCAAACAAAAAAACAAAAAAAAACAAAAAAAAAAACAAAAACAAAAAAAGAACAAAAAAAAAAGAAAAAAATCGATTTTTTTTTCTTGCAAACAATTTTTTTTTTTCAATCATCTCACTTTCAGCGCCAGGAGGGCTATTAACAATAATAATGAGGAATGTTTTGTTGTTGCAACAGCGAAAGATTATGTTAGAATGACACGGTTAGTAATATTTTGAGATGAAAGTTTGAAGAGCATGGAGAAATAAACGGAGAAACAGCACATTTTTTTGTGCGCAATAGATATAAAGTTTCAAAAAATAAATATGTTGAAATATTTCCTTCCTATCCACAGCATAGGATTTTTCTCTTTTTTTCTTTATCTAATATTGTTCAGATAAAATGCCACTCCCCTTCCCTAGAGGAATAATATAGAAAAATCTGTAATTGATTAGAAAAAATGACATTCCACTGTTTATTCTGTGACATTAACGCAGCCTAAGAGATGACATTTCAGGCTTTCTGGAAAGCCAAACTTGTTAAGATTACGTTTAGCGCAAACCTTTACGGCAAGCTCGAATAAACATCTCTTATACACACTTGTTATTAAAATTTTATTCAAAATAGAGTCGCTTTCTATATATTTAAATTCTGGATGGAAAACTTTCATGTGGTAGATATAATACAGAATCTTTGCATTCATTGAAGTTAAATTTTGTTTGTTAATTTGCGGTACATACGTGTGTGTGTGTGTGTGAGGGTGTGTGTGTGTGTGTGTGTTTGGGGGGGGGGGGGGTGTACATGAATGACCCGTAAAAAATGAGTTTGTTTTCCCGCTGATCGGAAAGGTCTGAGAAGTTGTTATAGGCATGCCCCTATTATAGTGTCCAATATATATATAAGGTTTAATAAACCATTTTTTAATGTGGCTGTGTGCTACACAGATTCGAAACTGCCACTCCCCCTTTCATGATTCGCGAATTCGACACTGCGTGCATAATATTAATATCATAACTAATTTTTACATTGACACTGGAAACAAATTGAAAGGGGGGGGGGGTAAAAATTTCCAACATACAACAAATTTGACCATTTTTTTCACGGAGGGTGTGTATGACTCATTAATACCCAATAATAGTTTACAATAGTTTACAAAGTCAGTTAACCATCACAAATATTAACTGAAGGCAACATAAAATTAAAAGTAGTATATAACAAATATATATATAATTCTAAGGTACATTATTCAAAGAAGAGAAGCGAAAGAAAACACATTTGATTCGAGGCTATAGTAAATGTAGAGTTTTTTTTATTTTAAAATTTGAAACAGAAGTGAAATAATTTTATAATCGATATTGACTGTATACTAGTACATCTTGTCTCAGCAAAGTTACATGTAATTTCTTTAGTACGATTTTCCCCTGATATCCCTGACATTTAAAAACAAGTACAGTTTTCCTATGGTAGCTAGTATTTGCAGGCGTCGTATATCTTTTTTATTACATATTCTTGAATAACAAAGTGACGAATTTAAAATTCTTAAAGTTAATACAATTAATAGATGAATATTATACCCTATTTTACATTGGAATTCGTGAAAATTGTTCCAGCACGTTTTTTTTTATTCACCTGCAAGATTACGTTGCGATAATGTTGGTAACTCAGTCATGTAGTGCCCATTTTCTGTAAATTGTTTTTTTTTTTTCATTTAAGGCCAGCGATTATCCCCTACTTTGATAAAATTTACTTTTAGCAAACCACTTCTATAAAAGTATCAAATAAAATATTTTTGCTGAAAAGAGAATATAATTCTTTACCCCACCCCCTTTCAAAATTAAAATTATTTACGCATAACCATTTTGTTGAAGGCATTTATTTTTTTTTCTTTTCTTTCTTTATCTTTCTATATTTGTATTTTTTTGCATTAATAATATAGTTTCATGGTATATAGACATCCCTTTTTTACTTCCTCGGTAAACGGCATCATTTTTCTGTTGGTTAAAGATTCAAACAGATGTGTGCTGACCCGAAATATTAGTCCCTGCTCCGTTTTGTTTATATTTTATGATTAAGTAAACGCAGTGGCTAATTTTATTTTTAGAGTTGATATTATATGATATTATACTTTCATGTAAATTACTTGAATCTGATTCGTCGAGAAACATTTGATAAAAAACACTACTCCCCGCTGAATAATGAAGCCACGCCCTCCTGCGTAGCAACAGTCAACATTGCTTGAGTGACGACGGGTGGTATTACAAAAAATAGCGACTGCGCGGAAGTTATGCGCGCACGGTTCACTGTAATATGTATCTGTATAAAACATTCAGTATAATATGATAAATATTGCATGTAGTTGAGTGTAACATTGAAAATTTTCACCCCTCGAAAACCATTGTCAACCTAGGCTGCGCTTCGGTTGACAATGGTTTTCTTGGGGTGAAAATTTTCAATGTTACACTCAACTACATGCAATATTTATATAGTATTTATAGACTTACGACAATCCAAGACTAGACTTTATATAGTATTTATAGACTTACGACAACCCAAGATTAGACGTAAACTTACGACTGTTTTTTGACGTAACGTCAATCGTGCGATTTTTTGTGAATAACCAAAATCTAACGAAAAAATCTTACGACCGTCTTACGACTACGATTAGTCGTAAGATTTTTTGTGAATAGATGTCCTGGAGGCTATAGAATTAGTACTGACAACCATTGGTATTTGGGGGAATTTTTTAATTGATAATCAATTAGGATCAAACAAGTAAATATTAATTAATACACAAATTATACAAACAACGTTAATTACCTGAACCAGGTAATTAACGATGTTTGTATAGAACGCGTGATTTCTGATAATGACTTAATAATTTCGAACTGAAGTCTTCAAATTATATCCGTTTTTCAAGACTTCGACCACATCTTCTTTTTTATTTGCTTGCAGTAAAAACTTTGACATTTTTATTTAATACGCGGTAATCCATGTCCCCTGTCATTCTGTCAACTAAATCATGATGGTTTGAGTTGTCTCTCTTTGTTTTCATTAAAATGAAGACGGACACGTTGTGCGCAACAATAATGATGCGTAGACATGTGCATTAATTGAAAACAGGAATATATTTCAGGGCATGCGATATATAAAGGTATTTAGATGAATAAACATATCTTCATTTATTGCATTGACTCTCGTTATCACGGGAACACGTTTTTATTTTTACATCAGGTTGTCCAGACACATTTTAAACATGTATTTGTATGTTAATGCATTCAAAAAGCTAAAACATTGATCAAGAATTTCACCTCCGATGATTTTAATTTTTATGGACATGCTCAATTCGTAAAAAAATAACGCGTAAAAAATTAAGACACCCTATTTCAACCGAAATTAGTAAAAATTTACAGCAGTAAAAATTACCCGTTATACAGTATATCGTCAAATAGCTTCAGGACATTGTATAATTGTAGAAGTAAACCGTCAACTGTGAAAGTCATCTCTCCTCGTAAAAGTCCATTAGGGTGTGTGTTATATCTCTCATCTACTTTTAAAAATATATGTAATTTTAACAAATTAAAGACACTTGCTAAACGTAAACTGTTTTTGTGACAAAGGCACGTGTTGTATTGTTGTTAATATTTCTCTGGGTATGTTCAATTGTATAACTCTTTATCAGCACTGAGTAGGACTAACACAAGTGGTGAGATGATTTTGCCTTCTCATTTTTTCCGAACTTTCTGGATGATAATTTTAATGTTTTTCATGCATAAAAATACCGAATGGTAAATGGTAATTTAAAGTTACTACAATAAACTATAATTTATTTATTAATAATTTAATTTTGTTTGTATTCTTGCCTCTCATTGGTTGAATTCTAAAAAGGAACGCAAAACATTTTGTATAATCTGGTTTGGTATGGGGACACACCCTCTTGAAGACCAGCTTAATCATCATATCCATGCAATCCCCTCATTTCCACTCCTCGGAATCCATTGAAAATTCCAAATTTAATAAATGTACCTTTACACAATTACTCGTTCATACCTAATGTAAACAAACATCACGGCTGCTAGATCTTTGTATCAGTTATTACTTCCCCTCGCTTCAAATCACTTCCGTTACTACGGTTTTATTATTGCGCGGTAAATTTGAACTTATAAAAAGCAACACAATTTTACATCAAAAGTTTTTAATTGTTTTAAAATCAAATTATAATTAATGACTTTAATTCTTGGCGATATTATCGAGTATAATCTGGTTTGGAACAGTTTACTTTTTTTTTATAATAATAAACACTAATTAAATGACTACTCGGTAAAACAGTCAAAATGTTGTCCCTCGGTAGTGGGAAAGACCTGGGAAACTGTTGCCCGCGGTCTTCGGCCTCGGGCAACTGTTTCCCAGGTCTTCCCTACTACTTGGGGACAACTGTTTGACTGTTTACCTCGTAGTCATTAAATAAGGGTATAATCGTATTTCTCTAAGGGTTGTACATGTATAAAGTAAAAGTCATGCTGACCTAAATCTAATTTTTTACTTAGTTTCCATGCAGATGCAATAGTTTTCTTGCAGATGCAATAGTTTTCTTGCAGACGTAATGAAACCTGTCATTACACGGAAAATCATGCCACTGCCAATTGTTATCTTTAGAAGCTACTACGCAGTTTTCATCCCTTCCTCCACCTGGTTGACCTTTAAACCAATCGCCATTGGTCACTCTGGATCCCGTGGATTCATAGACATAGACTCCTTCTTGACGGATATCTGTGGCGCCAATCCACATATGGGTAAAACCTTAAAGCCAAAGAAAATAACTAATTTTTTTTTTATTTCTTTACCTGTATTTCATTTTGGTTATATCAGTTTTTTCTCTCTACGGTTGTTTCTTTGCATTTTAAAGGAGCTGCATAAAACTTTTTCTTTCTTCGGTTTGAATGTCATTGCTCAAAGAAACAATTTTCACAATTCTTTGAAAACATAAATATATATACCTTTTGCTTTTGTTAGTAACATTTCCCATGGACTTAGATCCTCAAGAATATAAGCGCGGGCTTTGTTACAAATATCCTATAAAGCATTCAGCACTTTGTTAACAGATCTCTTATATGTAGAAATGCATTGAACATTTTATCTGAATTTTAAGCAATGCACTGCTGAAAAGTTATCGAATGTATCATATCAAATTGATATATTTTATAAACGATATCATAGGCTGCCAACCATCATTTGCCAAAGAAAAAAACTCATATATTGTAGTTTAAAATTTGACAATTGTTTATATCTTTATATATGGAGCTATTCTTCTAAAAAAGAATACAGTCTAGAAATGGTTACAGACCCTAGACCTCTTAAGCTTTTTTATCTTACCTTTGCTGCATCAAATGTAGTTTTGACTTCAGAAAATAAGTAACAGTTGTTTTCGAAAGATATCCAATTGCAATCATCTGGACAGGCTGTTAAATATGTATGAAAAAAGTATCTATTACTGTAAATTTATTCCATGTGGCGTGCACAATGTTTGGACTTACTGATGTTTTCTTTTAAAAATTTGGCCTAGATTTAAATTAGCGATTTTTGACTATGCTTGATATGAAGATATAAAAAAGACCATTTAGCGATGTGCTTAATTTAGCAGATGATGCTTTCTGCGAAAGACACTAAATGGAATACACAGCAAGATGTTATACATTAGCAGTATCTTTTAGTTTCCACATATTTTTATATTTCTATAATATATAATGACAAGCAAAAGTAAAGATCCCAACCATCTGTTTGTGCATTACATGTATTGGAATAAAAAGGAAAAATCATTAACTTGATTTATTAAATATAACAATTTACGTTACTACATAACACTTGAAATGATAATGAAAAACAAATACTAAGTGTTCTCATGAACTGTCTTTCATTAACTAACTTTTTTAACTAGCATTTGAAATAAACCTTGACAGCATCCTAATTTCATATTTATTTAAATATCATTTTTAAACAATGTCAAGGGCATACCAAAAAGTTTTTTTTTCTGTGACACTTCAGGCAATGCTGAAACAATTTTTTGTTCCTGTTGAGTAGAATTCTTTACTTGTTTATACTCAGTTTTCGCTTTATTTATTTGCAAGGAGAGATAAAGATATGTAAATTTCAATGAGTTTACCAAAAAATATGCCTGAATACACCTTAATTTATTTCGTTATAATTATTACAGATCATAAGAGGAAATTTTTTTTTTTTTACTCTACTCCCCCTTTTTTTTACTCCACCTTGACCTTAAGTGTATTTTTGTTTACTGTGGTTTCATCCAAATTTTGAGGAATTCTTTGTTAAGCAGATCCACGAAATTAAAAGTTCATTGAATTGAGAAATGTATTATTAATTTGTATAGGTGAAGGTTTAGTCTACCAAATTACGTATCCTTGAACACGTCTGTTTTACAAAATCCACGAAAATTGATAGCAACTGAAATGTATGAAATGTATAAAACTGAAAAAAATAATTTAAAGCAGAAAGAACCAACTTGTGACGTTGCAATATTTTTCCTGTAATTTATTGATCATCAACTGTAGAGACAAGATGTGCTCTGTAAGAGAAAGAATAAGGTTTAAAAATACAAAGAAAATAATACCAAATAACAATTCAAAATTATTCAAATTATAAAATATAAACTTGAGAATTTTAAATTTCATAAAACATTTCAAAACTAGGTAGATATTCTGCAATGCTCCTGATAACGTTATTTGTATTTTATTTGTTCAAAAACTATCAACAAAAAATTGGGCGCATTGAATCAGTAGTAAAACATTTTATTTCCATGCACATTTCAACTGCGACATTACTTGGACACAAAACTTTCGAAAAAGTTATAAATTCCCCGTGCATGATTTTTTTATTGGTTGGTTACATTCTGCCTTTTTCTAAGACATATAAAACATCTCTTTATTTTCTCAGTAATCTCGATTTTTCTCCGATGCAGCTACAGCTCTCAGAATGTGTTGAGTAAAAGAATCGAATTTTGAAAGCTAGAGACGCTATCTATGTCCAATGATATGCAGAGTAACTCTTAAAACTTAATGTGAATGATTTTTTTTTCTGAATCCAAGGTCAAAAGAGCACCATGGAAGACGTTTCCAACGTCTTGAATTATCAGGGTAAAATGTTATGGTCTGTTCAAATATTTTTTTAAAAACATTTTTTAGATCTATCATTATTCGTTTTGTTTTCTTCATCTTTTGCCATAGGCATGAGCTATTGTACGACATATATTCTTAAAATAGTGATAATTAAACGCTATTAACACTGATATTAAATAGATATAAATAGTTTTTTTTTTATTTGAAATACAGGTTAAAAGATTAATTGGAAGCAAAGTATATGTCGACTTTATGCTATAAAAATACCTTTAAAACGTGCATTACATAATGATTGGAAAGTTTTTCATGTATATATACTTCGTTAAATCTATAAAAATAATTAATTCATCATTCATTGGTACTAAAAATTTTAAATATTCTTATTTGTTCACCTTCTGTTTCCAGCCTCACAATCTTTATTCTCAAGAACGTATTCTGTATTGTAAATTTGGAAAGGCGTAAAAATCATATTGACAACAGTTTTAATGGGGGGGCATGTGTAAAGTTTTTTTTTGTTTTCATTTACACTAAAAGTAAATTACAATCAATATTTTTAGAATTTATTTTGATTTTATATAAATGTACATAAATATTTGTCTTCACCGTGGAAACAAATGTTTATACCAATGTTCTTAAAATCATTTTATTCACTTACCTTTGTACATTTCATAAGTTTTTCGCTGTTCTTTACATGGATCCGACATCCCATCATAGAGCGGCTGACCCTGTACAGCAGTATTGAAAACAGCTATAGATAAGGTTATCAGAAACATCTTTTTGAGAAACCTGAAACTGAAAAAGAATTTTTGAGTATTCGGAGATATCTGTGTTGGTAGCTTCTATTGTAAAACGAGAACTCGTTTTATACGGATCGGTGTCAACGTCCCGCAGTAGACGTATTGGAACCAGCAACGTCAGGATCGACTCCTCACCTTTCGACTATATATGAAATGTATTTATACTGCCTACCATGAGCAAATGTTTCCGAAAAAATGCAGTCACATGTGAGTATTTGCTCGCGTTATTTGTATGAATTCAACCAATGAAAACATATAATGGGCGGAGCGTGTTTGTAATATACATTGTTGTTACATATTTGGAATCAATTGACGATCAGGAAAAATATAATACATGTGTTCCATCCTTGCCCCCTGCAGACGCAAGAGCAGAAGGACATTGAATTAAGTATGCCAGTCGATCAGGTTGTCACTCTGTCAATGTTTCAGTCGGTCCGTCTGTCACAAAAACGTTAACCTTTATCATAACTTTAAAACGTGAGAAATATATATTTATCACAATGGCAAGAACTTTGGAAATAAACATACTGACTCCGCAAACTTAATCTTCAAGATCTACCTTTATACAATTTTGATAGAACATTGAATTTGTCTTAATGTTTGAACTAGAAAAAAAGAGTTTCATATAATACAGTCATAAATGATTTTAGTAAGACCTCTCTAAATATAAAATGATTTATTATCTTGTGATCTTGACCTTGAGATTAGACCTACTTTTCAATAGGCAATCTAGAAACTTTTTTTCAAACATATTTTTCAATGCATACTAGTATGTAAACTTTTTGACTTTCAAACAGAATGAAGGATTTTCTTGGTCTACCCTAATATCTTTGAAACAAGTTTTTATTTTCTTTCTATTCTTACATTGTCAGTATAAACTTATTTGTGTTACAGTAGTTTCAAAGCTTTCTCAAAACTATAATGTGTCTAATTTGATATTTATTAGTTCTTTCCACTTAAGATATTATTTCTGGCGTGTAAAATCACAATAATCCCATCTTTTGTATAATTGTCTAAGAGGAGTGACAAATTTATATTTTTTTCTCTATTCACCCCATACTTTGTTTTCTTTACTTTTTATTTTCTTGCACTTTGAATGCACTTATTTCCTCAACTCTGTTTTACAATAAAATATTCATCGTTACTGTTTTATAAAATGTATAAAAAAAGAGAAAGAAATACTTAAGGTAGTCATAACCACAGGTTTATAAATTTAGCAGTTATGTAATCAAAAATTCTCATAAATTTACAAAGTAACTTAAACTTATCAACATTATTTTTTTTAAGTTAAAGATTTAAGTTCATCATATTACATAGGGAAAATTGTAAAAACTTCAATATTTTTCAGAAAAAAGAACTGGAATATATGCATTTAAGTGGAAGATATGCATTTTCTAATTGCAAATAGGCACCCAGGCATTCAGAGAAATTGTCATGATTTTTATACTTATTTATACTTATTTGGTACATTTTGTCTTCTTTTTCCGTCATGTAATCTACAATACATAGTGTAAAAGGATTTTGCTATCATTGCCAGACACCGCAACTCACTTCTTATTTCATATCATGTTAACAGGCAATTGTGTCTAAGGCTGGATTCAAGAAAATCTTATTTCTAGAAAACTATTTTATTTTGTATCCTTTTATAAGGTACAAATGTCAACTTTTTAAAGACCTTCTCTTAGACTTTCAAAAACTTTTATTCTTATGAAGATAAATAAAATGAAAATTGTTGCATGAAAAAAAAATCATTTTCAAGTTTCATTTTGATCCATTTCAAATTAATATAATAAAAATAATTTCATATTAATTTTTGGAGTTATCCTTCCTGGCTGAGGATCGGATATCCTTAATTGAGTTAAACAGACATTAAAGATTGTATCATATGTATTTCTGATTACAAAAATAAAAGTAATGAAAAAAATAAATTCTTACTTTCTGCGCTTATTTCAGCCTGTGTTACATGCTTTCTGTTTTTCTGGAACAGAGGCACTTCTTATGTAATTGACAACAACGCTGTGGTTTTTCAAGCTAAATTTAGATGTTTAAAAATAATAGACTCACACATAGTTTCTTTGTGCTCGAATACTCAGAAAGAGAATCAACAAGCATGGAATTATACTAACTTTATGCAATCTGTTCCCTTTTTTTCTACTTTCTGGACGGGCTACTGTCATTCCACCAAATGTGTATCTAAAACATATTTGATAAAACCTCGTGGTATTATCCCTAAGAAAATGTTTATTCCTTTAAAATCTTTATCTGCAATTATAAAATGTTTAATAGTATTAAACGTATTAAACTTTCCCCCTTTACGAACATGCTCAATGTCGAATGAAGAAAAAAAGTATATGAAAATAAACATTTTTTTAACATTTCTGACCACAGATCTGATGTAATTTGTATTTTTTTTCGGGGGGGGGGGGGGGGGGGGGGTGTTGGTTGGGGTGGGGTGGGGGCTTAAATATTCAATTTGTATGGGCTTTGTTTGTTTGTCTGTTTGTTTGTTTGTTGTTGGTTTTTTTTTGCGAGAGATAGCTGATGAAAACAATGTCAACAAAGAAGGACAATAGGGTCATAAATATGTTTTATAATTCACACTTTTTCCTAAAATATAGTCCCTGTTCCTTCCTACTCCTTATTGACTAAGATTTTCTTTTTACTTCTTTCGGTTGTTTTGACTGGAAGTGGAGGACACTGTGCCTTTGTTTCTTTAAAATATTCTCTATTCATGTCGAGGTTTTTTTTTTCTACATTGCATAATAAATAAATGCACGGTACGGTGCACCCGAAAACAGAGGTCAACATAACATTTTTTTCCGGTGCATTTACTACAAAATATTTTTAAAAATTGTGATCTACATTATTTAATTGAACATTTTGTGTGTAAAATGAATTAAAACAGGGAGGTTAATTGAATTACGTTAACATATTATTATTTTATACTCTGCTAGTTTCATACTAAGTTGGATATGTCTGTTTGAGACACATAGACACTAAAATATTTTATCAAATAATTGAATGACCTTGAAAAACGTGAAAAAAATAATAGCACTAAGTAAAAATGAAGCAAAAATATTTATTTCTCTTCTTTTCTTAGGGTTATTTACTGACTTCAATTTATAAAAAGCTTTAAAATTATATATAGACTAGGTAAATCTAAACTTTTTATATAAATGGTTTTATCTCAGTGATACACAGGTGTGCATTCCATATGTTTAACGGATGTTACATGTATATATGTAAATATTTATTGCTTTCTCATATATATTCAATCATAACCATGAAGAAATGTATTGTATTGCTACAAATATTCTCCAACAACGAAATCACGTCATAACAATACATTTTTTCGTCCAACATCGACATTTTGTCACCACAAAACCATGTGATGGTACAGTAAATGGTTTAAAATCTACATGTATTTAAATTTGGGTAAAAATTATAGAAATACGAGATCACGTGTAATGCTGTTTAAGGTATATTCATTTATCAGTACTAATTTCAGTCAAATTATTTCGGTGAAGAGTAAAAAAAAATTGTATAATGTTAACCGAATAATTCTTGAAACTTGTTTGCTATTTTTCAACATAGAAAATGAATAATTTGCAGGAGACTTCAGAACACATACACTTGATTCCTCCCAGATCTGTCGTTTTTCCCTCCTTGATCAGCTAATTCAAAAAGATTAATTTAAATTGAACACGAGAAGAGAAAGAGGTTATTGATTCGCGATCAACGTTTTACAATGGAACTTTAAGAACAAGTATCTGTTTTTAAACGATTTTGAAATCATGGTTATTTGAATTTATATGGATGTATTCTCCAGAAATATATTCTCACGTCAAATTATCACCAGGGGGGATATGACGCGGCCAGAATTTGATAAAATCGAATGTTATTAGGATTTTATCAATATTCATGTATACCAGCTGGAAAGATAATTCTAATACGTAACAGCAGAGGAGCCTTGTTTAACAAGGCCTTGATACCATTATCAGAATATAGACTTAAGTCAAAATTTTAATTTTGAATTACTTGTCATTTATAAAAAGGCCTTGTCAAAATCCTGCACGTTTGTTTGATATACGAATTAAAATAAATTTTGCAATGCTATTAAAATTATGTCAAAGGTTTTATTGATTTCAAATTTTCACTGAAGTCTGTTCTCAGTATATAATCTTGGGGCCTGTCATTAATATCTGACAATGTGAATATATAATCTCCTTTTCGAATTTTGTGAGAATCAGAATCAGCATTTTAATGCGTCAAATATGAAAGTTCACATAAAGATTTTTAATCATCAGAATCAATGAAAACATAATTTTCTATTCTACAGAAAAATAGTTACAGCATTTAAATGTGTCAAATATGAAAGTTCACATAAAACTTTTTATCATGAAAAAAGATTAAGAAATCATAATTTTATACTCTACAGACGAAAGAGTTGATGCTCTACTTAAACCGAAAAACATCCAACCGCGAGTAAATAAATGTTGTAAAAATTATGAAAGAGTTCTCTGTCATAGCGGAAACAACTTTGGCCTCACAATAAAATTATGTGTAATTTTCTTGCGGACGCAATAATTTTCTTGCAGACGCAATGGTTTTCTTGCAGACATAGTGAAATGTACGATTACATGAATAATCATGCCACTGATAGTTATCAGGCTTTTGAGCAGCTACGCAGTTCTCATCTCTTCCTCCGTTTGGTTGGCCTTCCAACCAGTCTCCATTAGTCACAATGGAACCTGTGGATTCATAGATATAGACTCCTTCTTGACGGATATCTGTTGTGCCAATCCACATTTGGGTATAATCTTAAAGCAAAATAAATAAGCAATGGTTTTCTTATCTGAACAGTATGGAGATATTGACAGTATTTAATATAAAAGTCATTAAAAGGAATACAAAATAGGAGCAAATCAAACACGCTCATCTAAATATTAGAGATTGGATTAGATTACATTGAGGAGTGAGCATCCCCTTTCGACCGGTTACACCCGCCATGTGCTTCTTGTCATTATCGGAAAATGACGGAAAAATACTTCGTCAATTCAGTGTATAAGTAATGGACTAACAATTAGTATGACATCCTTTTTGTTCAAATAATCTTTTCTCAAGAATTAAATTTATTTTGTCACTTTTAAGGATGTATTTTTTTTTTACTTTTCCCCTTACGTTTAAAATACCATGACGGTCGTGGTACAAAGAAATAAATGTAACCTAATATTGTCAGGAGAGAAATATTTACCTTTTGTTTTTGTTAGGGACTTTTCCCATTGGCTTTGCTCTTCAAGAATATAAGCTCCAGCACTGTTACAAATATCCTAGATAGCATATAGTACTGTGTTAGTAGTCCTCTCATATATACAAATACCTTGAACATTTCATCTGTATTTAATAAGCAATGCAGTTTTCAAAAATGTATTGAATTAAGTTCTTTTATTCAGCTCACCTTTGCTGCTTCAAATGTAGTTTTGGTTTCAGAAAATAAGTAGCAGTTGTTTTCGAAAGATATCCAATCATCGGGACATGCTGTTGAATATATTTGAAAAAGTAACTATTGCTGTAAATATATTCTATGTGGCGTGTACCATAATTTGAAAAAATCGATCGTAGATTTGAATCAGCGATTTTTTTCTGTGTTTTTTATGAAAATATATTATAAAAAAATATAGCAATATACTAAATTTAGCGTATGATGTTTTCCACCAAAGGCGGTAAATTGGATACACTATCATATGTTATACACTATAAGCATCTTTTGGTTTCCACATCTCTTTTTATATCTAAGTTATTATGATAAGTGAAGAAGTAGAGCTAGACCTCCACTTGTGCGTTATCAGAATGATAAGAAAACCAAATTAACTTGAACACTTCAAAACAATAATTAATGTAACTAATGATAAAAAAAACATTACAAAGTGTTCTCACTAACTAACTGTTGAATGGCATGTATGATGACCTTAACAGCACATCTAATTTTATCTCTATTCTAAAATCATTTCTTAACGATGTCATAGGGTACGAAAACCTTTTTTTCTGGGACATTGTAGGCAATATAGATACATTTTATTCTTTTTTTTTTTTTTTTGTTAAGAAAACTGCCTTGCCCAATCCAAATTTTCTTTTTTTTTTCATTTTAAAGGGGGAATTAAGAGAATGTTAATTTCGATGAGTTTACCTAGAAATATTCCTGGATGCATTTAAATTTGTTAAACTTTATTGTGCATGAAATTTTAGAACTTTGTAGGCATATTTTAATTTACTTTACCTTGACCTTGAGTTTATTTTTGTTTATATAAAGGGAAAAAAATCCAATTCATTAGAATTAATCAAATCAAATAAATTAATATAAATCGTATGAAAATTAAAGCAGTAAATAAAAGAATCAACCTGTGACGTTGCAGTATTTTTCCTGTAATTTGTTGATCACCAACTGTAGAGACAATACGTGCTCTGTAAGAGAAAGGTTAACGTTCAAAGACACAAGGAAATAATACCAAATCACAAATCAAAATTATTCGATTAATGAAACATAACCTCGAGACTTTTATATTTTAGACAGCATTTCGAATCAGAGTTGGGTACAACGTTCACAATGACGCGGACATTATTAATTTGTAAAAAAAAAAAAAAAAAAAAAAAAAAAAACTAGAGCCTGCAACAAAAAAAAATAATATTAAAGAAATAATCTACCATATCTATTTAAATTGCGACATTACCTTGACAACAAACTTTAGAAAAGTTATAAATTCCCTTGTATAAAGTTTTTGTTTTTTTTTTCAATGTGTTGAATTTCCAGGGGTAACATTTTATGCTCTGCTCAGGGATTATATCTTTCATACATGTAGCTTTCTTTTAGATCGTTCACAGTTCGTTTTCTTTGTCTTTTGCTTTAAGTTTGAGCCATTAATACGATATATATTCTTAAAATAGTCATAATTATATGTTATTAACACAAATATCCTATTTATTATTATCTTTGATATTTCAATGACAAGATTATGAGGTTAATTGAAAGCAATGCAAATGTGATTCTATAATATACTTAAAAAAAGACTTTAAACTGATATGATATTTCGATTATGATAACTATGAATTATCATTATCATTCACTGGTACAAGGAATTTGTATTCTTTTTCTTTTTCACTTTGTTTTTTTAGCCAAAATATCTCTCTTCTCACCAACATTAACATATAAATTGCCTTCGAGATTTTAAGAGTTTAATCAAACGCACCTAAATATTTGTCTTTACTTAAGAAATAGAATTTTTGCAATTGTTCTTAGAATTTTATTTCATTTAGTTACCTTTATACATTTCATAAGTGTTTCTCTTTTCTTTACACGGATCCGACATCTCATCATAGAGCGGCTGACCTTGTACAGCAGTATTGAAAACAGCTATTGATAAGGTTATCAGAAACATCCTCCTAAGGCATCTATAACTAAAAGATGAATATAGAGAAACAAACAGTATTCGACATCAAAGACCATAAAACAATACAAAATAGAAGCAGAGCAAATACGGAACTCCGAAACATCGGAAACTATTAAGAATATATATTGGAAAAATCCGTCGTCAATTCGATATATAAATAATGGACTAACAGTTAGTATGAAAAACGTCAGTCACCATATGACTCAATGATAAATTGTATTTGCTGAAAATACCATAGAACTTAGCATGTTTGTGATACACGTACATTGTTACATTTTTGCAAACAGTTGACAACAAGAATATATATTCCATTATTGCCCGCTGATGACGCGAAGGCAAGGAAACTATACTATGGGCGGCGGAAAGGGTACAAAAGACGTTTATGAAAAACTAACAACTAATTTTATAAACATAATGAAACATAAAACAGACAACCTTAAAAACAAAATCAACAGACTCGTTTGCAAAATCAAAAGACTCCGATGTAAAACCAACGATCACCAATGGAAAACAATCGATTATTTACTGAATTGTCGCTAGATGGCGTGCAAAAAACATGCGTTACCTGAATTAACGCTAGATGATAGTTTTTCTACGTCATAATAATGTACTTTCATATTAAGGTAAATAGATTAGGGCCACGGTTAAAGGGTGAAGGCCAAAAGGCTGAAAAGAAGCACATGTAGGAAATTTGCATGCCTCCCTTTCAATGATAAAAATAAAAACAGCTCACATGTTTGTGAGACTTTCTGGGTATATAATAAAAGTTAAATGTCAAAAGTTTACAATGATATGCATCAAGGTGCATTTCAAGCATAAATTATGCATAGAAATATGTATTAAATGAGAAGTCATTTGGTTTGTTTACATTTTTTAAGCCAAGCGAGAGCTATTTGGAGGTCATGACGTCAGAATTTTATTAATAACCAGGGATTTCCAGATAGAACACCCCCCCTTTTTATGTAAATATTTATTTGACATATTGCTCTGTCATGTGGTTAAAAAATATTTTTGAAATGAATCTTGTTTTAAAAAAGTTACAAAGAAAAAAAACACACATGTTTTTACTATATAAGTCTATATATGTAAGCTTTTTGTGGTCCGGATCCAAATCCCTCGAAATTATCTATCAACATCCATTTGGCAAACCTCAGATAATAGCTTCATATCGGACTTTTGAAATTCTAAAATTTAAGAGGCAGCAAGACATCTACAAACGACTGTAAAAATATTACAAGAGAGCAATAGCAGATATTGCTATTTTTCCCCAAGAGAAAATTTTTGAAAGAAAAAAATCCCTTTACACTCTTAAAAAAATTCATTTTTTTTTTTTTTATTGTGTTCATGCATTACACAATTTGTTGATACATGAAAATTCAATTGGCAAGTTGTACTTGTATCATTTTTGCTTTTCTTTGTTCGACTAAGTGAAGTCTATTATATTTATTTTAGAATAAGTTAATTTAGAAAGCAATCTGATTAAACTCAGATCCTTTGATCCGCTCACATAGATCGTTACTTGTAATGCAATCTATGTGATCGGATCAATTTAAAGATCTGATTTGAATCATATTGATCAAAGGAAGTATCTTTCGCACAAATATGGTTCATATATGTTACACAATAAGTAATTTTTTTTTTTAACAAACTGCATGCATTGCCAAATAATGACGCAGTTTTCAAAAATATAGATATGCACGGATCTAGAGTTCCAGACACCCCCCCCCCCCCCACACACAAACCCCTTGGATTTTGCATAATTTTTTTTAGCATAAACCAAGTTTACTTTAAATGACCTTGGACGCCCCCTAGAAAACGCTGACCCCTCATCAAATAAGCGAATATGCTACGTGTCTATGAAAACTACTAGGTTTCTATATATGAAGCTTTAAAAGTTAACCTCATCCCATCCCTCCCCCAAATAGGTTTTTCATATTTGGGAAAGGAGTATATGTTTGTTTGTTTGTTTATTTGTTTGCTTGTTTTGGGGGTTTTATGTGCTTGTCATGAAATTTATGGGCTGGGTTGTTTTTATTGGAATGACCCCCCCTCCTTCGAAAAAAAAGATCTCTCCCTTTACAGATATGAATTATATAATACAGAAAAGATAAATGCTCCGAAGAAATAGGATAATCAAGGTTGGTACTGACACGCAAGGGAAATGAGGATATTTTTTAAGGGGGGGGGGGTGGTGTCGACATATCTATATCAATAACTCATGAAGTTTCAGTCAAAGTCTCACAAGGTTTTGGTAACTCGTTGATTAAACATGAATTAAAATGTTTGATAAAAAATCTGGATAACATATTACTAAGGATAGTTTTAATTTTATTCAAAGTTTACAATGCGTTTTATTTTCCTTTCAGTATAGTTGAAACCTTAAAAGAAATTTTTAAATATATATCTTATTTGAAATAAATCTTCCAAAAGTGCTTACAAAAACTATATTTGTACTTTTGTAAGCACTTTTGGAAGATTTATTTCAAATAAGACATATATTTACGTGATTCAATCACTGTTTCCAAACTGTGTACATGTTATAAACGTTAGTCCTAGGACTGAATAGATCATTCGGTAAAGAAAGGACACAATTTTTTTGTTGGTTACATTTATAAAACTTTTGGGGAAGAAAATAGATAAGCCTTCAAAATTATTTTTTACTTACATGTAAGTTTGGTTACAAAAATAAAACTTTTTAAAATATATATAAAAAATAAAATAAAAGTTTACAAAATTATTTTTTACTTACATGTATGTTTGGTTCCAGAAATAAAACTTGTAAAAAGATAAATACAGTCACTGTTGTCGGGACGCATCCCAGCTCCAGACATGTTCTTCCTGTTTGTCATTACAGTGAACATAGTCAACTTATAGGAAATTTATTACATGTCCTTTGGTTTTTCTTACTATACAAAAATGTTTTTAAAAATGACTCGAACATAGTTCATTTGTTTTAAAATACATATATTTGAAGATATTGACTGTATTGTGCATGTGTTTCATTTTTTATCTTCCTGGACTTTTGGCCGAACTACCGTCATACCACTCAAAGTATATTTAAAAACAGTTTTGAGAAAATTGTATTCTCTTTATTCTAATGACACTACTGACAATGTAACAAACCTACATCTATGATCATTAAACGTTAAATAGTATATTATTTGCATAGAAAACATTTGACTTTCATCCTTTTCGAACATTTTCAAGGACAACCGAAGAGACAGCTATGCAATGTGTGCAAAAGAGCTAAATTCACGAAGTGCAAAAATCCTCTAAGTCATCAAAATAAGTTAAACTTCCGCATATTTATGCTCTAAGATTTGTATGTTGTAAAACATTTTATTTTTTTAAGAATATCTTTTCTAGTTTTCCTTTTACAGCCGTTTCAATTAAGCTTTGTTTTCTTAATCAGTGCTGTCACTTCATTACATTGACGTTATATGCTTCAACATCGTAACGTTGACGTTTTGTATAAAATTAACACATACGTTAATGGAATAAAAATCGCCTATAGGTCATTCTTTAAAATTTTATAACAATAATTCTATAAATTTCACAAGACGTTCTGACAAATGGACTTTTTTCTTAAATTATATATAATTCAAAGAAATGAGAACTATTTATTATGAATTTATAGATAATGGTTGACTGAAAAAACCGTGGATACATGTAACACCACTTAAATTAAAATCAGGGACATATTAAATTGTAGACCAACACAAAGTGTGAATATATCATATCTGAGTAAAATTGATTTTTTTTGTAGTAAAATATATACTATAGAAGCCATGGAAACGGATTTTAATATCCTTAAATGTGTTATTATATGATCCTACGGCATACAAACTAAAAAGATAAGATTTTGTTAGAGTACATGTATAAAGTTTCATTTTTTACGAAGTATATACCTCTTCTGGCAAAATGTACTGATAAATATTTCCATTTTTCTTTTTTCTCTGTGATACATGTAACTCTTTGAAAGTAAGCAGAGATGATTGCTTGATAATTCTCACGAAATGAAATGAAGCAGGTCGATAGGTAGGGGGCGAAGGGGCCTAATAAGCATGTAAATTTCATGCAAAATTGTATCTGTGTCTGACGCTAATGAAGACCGAATATGCATGTAAATATCATGCTACTGCCTTTGTGTTTGATGTCAGTGGTCGAGGATTATTGAAATTGGCGTGTGAGTCCTCGTGTAATATAAATTTTATATATACATATCGAAAGTCTGAATCTACAGTTATATATCACACTAAAATGAAAATATAATCAATCACTGCCTAGTTCGAAAAGTATGCCATGGACAGCAACGATATTGGAAACTTTGGATAATTTATGCCTTGTTTCCCACTATGCTTGGCATACTATACTAACTAGTCTGTTATTCCTTAAGAATACACTCCAAAACCTTTTACATTCTTTTAATGAAATCTATTTAACACCAGACGATCGTCAAATTTCCACTCACTTGATTTCTTTGATACCCGAATAGTCAAAACTTCAACTCTTAAAAATAATCAAAGCTAGAGTGAAGATCTTATTTTGCATTTCTTATGGTTTTGTGATCAGATAAAAAGCATTTGATGCACTCGCTATTAAGCAATGGAAAACAGAAACAGGAAATATAAAAATATGTAATTTGACATCAAGTACTCTTTGCAAGTGAGGACAGTAACAATTAACTTAACCAAGAGACGTAAGAAAAGCTCTCGACATTTTAAAGTCAAGGGTCTTGAGTGACACATGTGTGAATTTTGTGGCAGCCCAAATAAGCAAATGTCATAATTATATCGAGTCCTGGTCAACTATCATTGTCGATAAAGTCCTAGGATTTCATGCATTAATGAAGTGTGTATTGTTTGGATTTCATGTAAGTATAAATTTGATTTACATTAAATTTGCTCAAGAAGTTTTAAAACTGAAATATTATTACCTTAATTTATATATATATTAAACATTATCAAATCATAATATTTTTGATGAACACATATCTTTTATCAATTGTTCTTGTTCGTTCAACAAAAAAAAAATAGCTTTACGTTTGTGTATTACGTAGTTTATTTTATGTTTGTGGGTTATATATTAGTTTTTGTTGGTTTTCAAGAAGTTTCAATCTGAAGGTTCGCAAGCAAGCACATTTTTATAGGTCTTTATAGTCATAACAAGTGTGTGGTTTGAGTGAAATTTAAATGATCCTTCATGTTAATAATATCTTTATCGATTAGAATCTTAAGGTATGTCGTCTTAAGGTATGTCACTCGTGATTTTTTTTTAAATCAAGGATTTATTGATAAGTATATTTTGGATAAGTACTCATATCGAGTGACTTCAAATCGCAGAGAAAATATGTGGTCAGTGTTCATCTTACTGATCTACAGTACAATGAAGTTGGCCTTTTTGCACTTAAAATTTAACTCGTTGGTTAATACACTTAAACCTTAATCATATTTTATCAGATGTAAACATGGCAAAATATAATCTTATTTTATGTCAAATATTTTGAATAATATTTTTCATTGAAAAAATCTTGCAAATTAATGTTCGTAAATTTTTGTCATTTTTCTGCACTAAAAAGTAACATAGTTTGAGGTATTAAAATACTAGATAGGCAATAAAACATTTTCTCAAATCAAGCTTTTTACGACTTAAGTGCTGATCAGTCACAAGTATCGAATACTTTAAAATATGAAAGATAAATTTGGGTCAGTGATGCTAATTTTGAAATATTGGTCCAAATATGTGATTTTCAGGCAAAAAATGGTCTAAATTTTACATTGACTTATTTGACATATCTTCATTTTTTTGGCAAAGTTTGTTGAAAGAAGGTGTAAAACTTGTTCCAAAAATATTAATTAAGACCTATATTAAATATTCCTTGCAATATCGTAATGGAAAATTTCCTCCGAGTAAAAATATGTGAGGCTAAAGTTCCAAGATATTAAATTTAATAAATGTGTAGATTTGCAGAATTATCTGCTAAGTATCCTTCCACCGCAAAATATAGTCCCTCGCAAATCTTCCTTCTTTGAAGCTATTTGAGCAGTTTTTTCGTTGAATGCTAAAACATCAACATTGTTGAAATTAAATAGTGTATAAAGATTGAATTTTGATAGATAATTTTGAAGTAAGAGGTTCTGAATGAACCTTTCCAGAAAGCTGACGAGTGACCTACCTTAAGAAGAAACCCTTACGAGGGGTGATCAAAACCATCTCTATATTTACAAAACTACGATTCAGATTAAATAAAATTTGGCACACCTATAGTCATGCACATGTTCTATAAATAGCATACGAAACGTAATGATTTTCTTCATCATTTTGACCTCACAATATGAAAATGAAGTCAATATGTAGGTGACTCGTGACAAAAAAAAATGGTTGTCACAGTGATGCTCGAGAAACGAAACAGTAAAGTTTTATGTATATTTTTGGAATTTCTTTGAGGTATCTTTCAATAATTTGTAGAAGATATGTTAAGACAATAGACTTTCCAGAAACTCCCTTACACACTGTTTACTTTAGACATTAAACAATTATTGATTAAAATAAAAAGAAGGCACCCATACGATACATGTATACCCTAACAAAAAAATACTATAGTTAACTATAGTTAACAATAATTTACTATAGTTAACTATAGTTATAACTTTGACACTTTGAAAACTTTGTCGAAAACTTTGACACTTTGAAAAACTTTGGCGAACACTTTGACACTTTGAAAAACTTTATTGAACACTTTGACACTTTGAAAAACTTTGGCGAAAACTTTGACACTTTGAAAAACTTTGGCGAAAACTTTGACACTTTGAAAAACTTGGGCGAAAACTTTGACACTTTGAAAAACTTTGACACTTTGAAAAAATTTGACAAAAACTTCGACACTTTGAAAAACTTTGGCGAAATTTTTGACACTTTGAACAACTTAGGCGAAATTTTGACACTTTGAAAAACTTTATCGATAACTTTGACACTTTGAAATACTTTATCGAAAACTTTGATACTTTGAAAAACTTTATTGAAAACTTTGATACTTCAAAAAACTTTATCGAAAACATGGATACTTTAACACTTCAAAAAACTTTATCGAAGACTTTGACACTTTGAAAAAGTTTATCAAAATTTTTAACACTTAAAAAAACTTTATCGAAAACTTTGAAACATTGAAAAAGTTTATTGACAACTTTGATACTTTAAAAAAACTCTATCAAAAACTTCGAAACTTTAACACTTTGAAAACCTTAATCAAAGACTTTGACACTTTGAAAAAAAATTATCTAAAACTTTGACACTTTGAAAAACTTTGACACTTTGAAAAACTTTGACAAAAACTTTGACACTTTGAAAAACTTTATTGAAAACTTTGACACTTTGAAAAACTTTGGCGAAAACTTTGACACTTTGAAAAACTTTGACGAAAACTTAGACGAAAACTTTGAAAAACTTTGGCGAAAACTTTGACGCTTTGAAAAACTTTGTCGAAAACTTTGACACTTTGAAGAACTTTGGCGAAAACTTTGACACTTTGAAAAACTTTTCCGAAAACTTTGACCTTTGAAAAACTTTGACGAAAACTTTGACACTTTGAGAAGCTTTGGCGAAAACTTTGACACTTTGAAAAACTTTGGTGAAAACTTTGACAATTTGAAAAACTTTGGCGAAAACTTTGACACTTTGAAAACTTTGGCGAAAACTTTGACACTTTGAAAAACTTTGACGAAAACATTGTCACTTTGATTTACTGTAGTTAACTATAGTAAACTATAGTTAACTATAGTATTTTTTTATTAGGGTATCCATATTAGATAAAGGCTGTTTCTAAGACAGACGACTCTGGTTGTGAT